AAATATATATATATATATATATATATATATATATATATATATATATATATATATATATGGCTTGGATCCAGTTAGTAGATATTCCGATATATTCACCCTTGTCGTGTTATTTATTTATTTTACTTTAGTCCGGAGGCAAACATTGGTCGGGTTCGTACTAGAATACAAGCACCCATATGTAAGATAGGCCTTCTCGAGGAAGGTCTTACCAGCCTGCAGAATATGCAGTCAATTTATTCTAGATAGATAGATAGATGGAAACAGATTGAGGTTGATAATTTTACCGTTTTTAGAAATACTCTAATTTGAATAATGTTTATTTTGCTAAAGTTTTTTTTACCATCAGTTTTCAAGAGAATTTAAGATTGTGCCACTGGATATAAAACAAACTTAATTTATCTTTAATATAAAATGAACACTTACGCAAGAGAAAATTAGTTTCCATAATAATATGCTGTCTATTGAAATGTATGCACTTATCCAATCTAAAACATGCACCTGTGCAGTCAATTAACCTAAATCTTGCACTTGTATATTCTACCAACGTAAATGTTTAACTCATGCACTCTACCAAACTTAAGGTCGCATTTGTGCACTTTATCTACCAACAACATGCACCTGTGCATTCTCCCAAACTAAAACATGCATTCTGGTACTCAACCTGAGCTTAAGGCCGCATTTCTGCATTCTACTTTTCTAAAACCTGCACTTATTCACTCTACCAATCTAAAACCTGCACTTGTGGACTATACCGACCATAAAATCCGCATTTGTATAACAACCAAACTAAATCCCGCATTTGTGCATTTTATCAACTTGCACTCTACCAGTCTAAAACCTGCAATGATGCACTTTCCCGACTTAAAATTTGCATATGTTCACTGTTGACCAAAATGATCGTCCAAAAAGGCTAGTCTAAAATTACTTGATTATTGCTTCGTTACACCTTTTGTTTAGTGTCAATTATTACACCCCTAAAAATGCTTGCACAAGAATTATATATTATTTCCGAATTTCATTGTGTATCTCTTTTTATGTGAACATAATCTTCTTGCCGTAAATGTGGTCGTTAGATGCAAGAAAAAGAGAGACCTCTTTCTTTGTCTAAAAATAAGCATGTCCTATTTTTCGTATCCAGAACATTCGCCGTAAAAAAAAAAAAAAAAAAAACTCGCATCAAGAATTTTCGCCATAGGAAACTTTGCCGTAAGACAATTTCGCTGCATCTTTTTTCGATACCCTTAACTTGAATGTCCCTTTTGAAGTAATGTTCAATTTAATATGTGAAGTACCAAGTGCATATGGATGTCTTTTTTACAGGGAGAAACATCAGAATAGAAATTTAAATATAAACATTTATTTAAAAAAATGAAAGACTAAAAGTAATTAATCAAATTAATAATTAATCAAATTAACAAAGAAATAATTTAAAATGTGTGCAAATTTCAAGCAATGCTTCATAAATAATGTGTTTTTTGCGTTGGACTGTAATGAAGCATTTTCGGCTGAAGTTTTGCAATGATATCAATATATATTTTCATTTGTACTGCATCGCCTCGATCTAACAAGGTACTTCGCATATTCAAAAAAATGAGGTGAAATTGTCTTACGGCAAAAATCCTATACGACAAAGTTTTTTACAGCGGAAATTCCCGAGACAAATTTTCCTACGGTAAAAATGTTTACGGCGAATGTTCCTAGAACCTCTATTGTTACATTCACACAACACATTGCCTCGTCAACATACACACTTATTAATTAATGTGTAAGTATTTCTCGTCTTGCATAACCCCGTAATTTTGTTTTTAAAACAAAATAACTTAGTCTTTACTCTTCTATAAATTTCTACATCTGTGTTTATCAGTGAAACAACTCTGCAAACTAAACGTAACAATTCTTATCATATTGGAGATCGACTTCCGTTTACCGGACATACTTAGGAAAAGTGGTAGCTATTACTAAATACCCTTTTCCTTTATTAACGAATGAATTGGATTATATTTCCTATGACATGCATAAGGTTAAGGCTTTTATTCGAGCTTGATATTAATTTTGTCATTTTTGTTTGGGAATTTAATTCAATTGTTTCGTGTAAATAATCGCTAAACCTACTAATTTCCTAAGCCTATAGGTAAACCTTACTCGCTACAAATTGGTGACCCCCAAGTAGAACGTTATATATAAAATGGTAGTCGCTACAAATTGGTGACCCCCAAGAAGAACATTATATATAAAACAGTAGTTGCTACACATTGGTGACCCTAGGTAGAACATTATATTTGTAAATAAACTGTAAATCTTATACTATAATATAGTACAAACATAATGGTAAATCGCATACTACAGTGGCACTAAATGTTCTAATTATACATATATAAGTGGAGCACCTCGAGGCGGTGTAATGGTTGGCAAGATTGTCTTGCTAGAACAATTACGACTGAGTAGTGAGTTCGATCCTCACTGGGTTGCCCCTACTTTTGGCCTTGTGCCATCATTCGCCCTTGAAAGGAGTATTGCTGCCATATATGGTCCGGTGCCCCTTCTGTTTGTCTCAAGGTTCTTGATAAGACCCAGAGACGGATATGCAATGTAATTGGCCCTGATCTGCCATCTCGTCTGTAGTCGCTCTCTCACAGACGTGCCGTCGCCTCCCTCTGCCTTTTTTTTTACAAATACTTTCATGGTAACTGCTCCGATGAGCTGCTTTCGCTGGTTACCAGACTTCATGAATTTAAGCGTTCTACTAGGCTGGCATCTCGTTCACACCCTTTCACTATCGACTCTGTTAAATGTCTCTTCTACTCCAATAGCTTCATGTCTCGCACCTCTTGCCAGTGGAACTCCCTCCATTTTTCCAGTTTCTCTGATAGCTATAATCTCCAACGATTCAAATGTAATGTCAATCGAGTCTCCAGATGCCTTGCTCTATCCCCTATCCTTCTCTTCATCTTTTCCTCTATCACTCGTATTTGCTCTCGCTCAAATTCTCTGTAACCCCTTGCGTGCTAGTGGCTTCCCGTCGTGCTTGGGGTGATACGCTTAAAAAAAAATGTTTGGAAAATCAATATATACATATGTAAGTATACATTCAGGTTTTTCTTCTAGACTGTTTGCTACCCAAAGCAAGAAAGGCCAGTCTACCATTTAACTCACAGCTGGAGGAAGATTGATTCATTTCTTATCCAAAGACAAATGAATTGAATTAAACAGAACGAACGGAAATTTGAACTAGGTGATTCCACTTTCCTTCCGTACCGATAACCATTACACTATTCGCACCTCTAAACTCGAGGAAAGCTGTTTGGAGACTTCATAACATAATGTGCACCATTTCTATGTTATAATGTCTTTCAAAAAATAGGATTCATACTTTTCCCAATAGTATTTACACATAATTGAATGTAATAGATTTGACTGGAATTCGAATTCCGAGCCGTTATCCATTATTCCACCGTGCCTCTAGCTAGTCTTAAAACAGGGCACGACTTATGTCTGTCTCTTGCTGACGTACAGTAAAATATCGGCACCACAGCGAGGGGGTGCTATATGGAGACCTCCATCGGAGGCAGATATTATTCAAATCTTTTGCATTCTTTATCTAGTATTTGCATTTATGTCACTGGAATGTAACATCTACATTGACTCTCTAACAATAGAACTTTCTATATGGACAAACGCTGATTATGGGAGAACTTATTTTTCATTGCACGCATCTCATAAAATTTTAACTGACTACTACGAGCAAAGGTTATATTTTCTTATAATATAGAAGCGTGTTCACCTTTCTAATACACAGTGAACTTGGTCACGAAGGCCTTGCATCACGAACAAATCGGTTTACGAACAAATTTAAAAAAAAAAAACTACAAAAACAAACCACGTCGGTCGACGAACGGTATCTCGAGCGACGAACACGCAAACCGGCGACCACGTGAAAAGACAAGCCGGGGGGGGTATAAGGCCGGGGGGTCAAGCCGAGGGGGTATCAAGCCGGGGGGTATCAAGCCGGGGTTAGGTAAAGAGATAGAAAAGAGTAAAAGAAGAAACTCCCGACAGTTACCTGATGTTTTTTTTATAGAAAGAGACTCCCTTTCCACACAATAACATATCTCCCGTTCTCCTTCCTCTTCATCTGCCACTATCAACCCCCCCCCAATAGAGGTACGGTAAAATTAAATTAAGTTTCCGTCTATATATTATCTGCTTACTATTGTTTATCTTTTTTTTATGTTACATTTAATGATTTTCATTGGTTTTGTTTGTATTGTAAAAGTTTAAGTAAGCAATCATCTGCGGTCCAGGAATCCGTTTTACATTGATTTCTATGGCCAAAATAGTTTCAGTTTACGAACATTTCGGGTCACGAACGGCCTTCAAGAACGAATTAAGTTCGTGAACCGAGGATCCATTGTATTTATGTTTTTAAATAATCTGTGTATTACTGTATAAAAAGTGTTATATAATATTTGGCTGTCACCCATGAAATGACGTACTTTATAGGAAATGAATAAAACGCTTCTGAAATGTTAAATAACTAATTTATTTAGTTGAAATAGGCGCCATGTTGACGAATGATCGTTCTCTAACGTACCTCTGAATTTTTTATCCCATCTTTAAAAAAATTCTCATCCTTTGATGTGATAAACAGTTCATGTGCTTCGATTATAGCTTCCTTATTTGATAATGTTTTATTGCATATGAAAATCTCAAAATGTTTAAATAAGTGATAATCAGTAGGAGAGATATCAGGCGAATAAGGGAGGATGAGTCGAAATTCAGTTGGCCTTCTCCTAGACCGTTCACCAACCAAGGATATAGAACCCATCCTACTATTTACCCATAGAAAATATGGATTCATAACTTTCCCAAAGGCATTAACAGTTAAGTAAATGTAATGAACTCGACTGGAATTCGAACTCACTCAACTCGGCTCTCCGATTAGTAAAAAATCAATAAAGTTATACTATAGTATGTTGATTTTGTTTATTTAGTATTACACACACACACACACACACACACACTATATATATATATATATATATATATATATATATATATATATATATATATATATATATTATTTATTTAAAATTATATTTATGCTCTAAATTTGTATCGAGCACTATTTTTAAAAATAATAACTAAAATACTAAGGAACTTTGTATCTACCTAACCAGTTCTTTCCTATTTTCTATATATTTTCACAAATATATATATATATATATATATATATATATATATATATATATATATATATGTGTGTGTGTGTGTGTGTGTGTGTGTGTGTGTAGCACCATGCATAGTTAGCGAGCTGAAGGGAAATATTCATAAATATATTATTTGTTTTTTACGGTTTGTCAACCATTTGATAATTATTTAGGGCTGAAAAATATTTCAGGTTTTAGGAATAATTCTTTCTTTACGTTCAAGCGATCTGGAAGAAGGAAAGAGAAAACGAAGAAGAAAGAAAGAAAACATAATACGAAACCAGGTCATAAGCGAGCACACATGGGCACGGCTGACAGATACCAGATGTCGAAAAAAAATATCAGGTCAAGCACCTGACCTACTTCCGTGTCCACGAAAAATGGAAGTTTGTTATCAAATGGTTGAAGAAACAAAGTTTAGGGACAATGAAAAATATGATAGGTAACAGGTGGGAAGTGTATCTAAGGATATGAAGACAAACCATTAATACGAAAACACAGACAGTTTCCAGAATTGGAAAAAGCCACACAAGATGATGTACGCTGAAAATGTTTTTTTTGAGATAATGAAAATTTTTATTATCGGGCCGGGAAAAAGTGAAATATTTTTATTCGTTCACGGAAACGCCAACAGGTCTGAGAAATCCCTTTCTTAGGTCATATCCAATTAGCGATAAACTGCTTGACAAATACCACGTGTTAAAAAGCCGAAGGTGTCATCGCAGTCGCTCATGATAACGGCGATTTAAATTTTGTTTTTTTTTTAGCAAGGTGTTTCTTCCCCAGAACAAAGCCACGGATTGTCCACACCCGACTAAAGACGTCATTGGCTAAATAAGATCACATGACACACGAAGGAGGAGAAAGATACCCGACCAGGACGTCATTGGCTAAATAAGATCACATGACACACGAAGGAGGAGGAAAGATACCCGACCAGGACCTCATTGGCCGAAAGCGGTCACATGACATACGAAGAAGCGAAAGAAGCGGGTATACGCCCCTCAGAGGTACAGTAAGGAAGTGGGAGTGAAAGTGAGTTACCGAAAAGGGAAAATCCCTAACCAGAAATAAGAAGGGTGGATACGTATTTAGAATTATCGAAGAAAACCCTGGCGCCGACAGACCCACCCCAGTTTTGACTGCGTCAATAAAAGCGGGACCCCAACCGACAGAAATCAGTTTCAGCCGCGGACGGCGAGAGAGTTTGAGAGCGGACGGCGAGAGAGTTTGAGAGCGGACGGCGAGAGAGTTTGAGTTGGAGTTGAGCCGTGAACGACAAGCAGAGATGAGCGCCCAGTGTTGAAACCGCGTCAAGATAGCTGACTAAGATTCACGCACACTTCTGGACTCTTCTTCAACCAAGAACAAGTAGTTTGAAGAGCGACTTAGAATCAGACCACAGAAATAAGTTTTTTTTTTACTTTCGTCCAAGGACACGCCGAAACACAAATTTCTTAGAGAGCAGACAACTGGAAGCCTTAAAGTTGCCTAGTAAAAGCGTCGTGCCACAATCCACAAAACGGGTCGGGAAGTAGACATAGTCCTATGTACCGAGCAAATAGACATAAAAGTTTCTTACCTTTTTCTTGATACGTTGGACCTTGTGAGTTTTTATTTTATTTCTTTTTTTTTTATACATAATTGTGTGTTATCACCCCGTTGGACTCAACTTGCATTACGGCCCCAACCCCTGTTTGATCTCGTCTGTCTAAGATCAATTCACAACGTGGGTAGGCAGACTGGAGATCAGTGCAGTTACCCTGGTAACCAGGCGTTGGAAGCGGGTTGGGAACGGCGAGGCTGGTATCAATCTAACCAAAGGGTTAGAACGTCACGTTTGGAGCAGCGAGGAGCGAACAGCTGACGCCGCGGCGAAGACGTCACAGTTGGTGCTGTCCGTGACCAGGATATCAGAGCCTGGGGAGCACGTGACGTCACAATTGGCGCCGCGACCGGGATCGAACGACACAGTCGACGCTGCGACCGGGGACGACGTCACATATATATATATATATATATATATATATATATATATATATATTTTTATTTAAAAATTATAACATAAATATATTATAAAATCACTACAAAAATAGCCATTTTGTTTCAACACCTCTGGTGTCTTATCAAGTGATGATGCTGAATGTAGATTGTAGAAATATATATGTATATATATATTGATATATATATGTATATATATATTGATTGTAGAAATATATATGTATATATATATATTGATGTCTGTTGGATTTTAGTATAACAGCCTCCATACAACCTTAACGTAAAAATCGTCAACACCTCCACATTTATTAAAACAATATAGAGACATACATAACACTAAATGAGATAGCAACAACAGCAGAGCAGAGACAGTAATATACAAAATACATTGTGCAAAATGCACACTACATTGGTGAACCCTCCAGAAACTTCGCAAAAGGCCATATGATAATCGCAAAGATATGCTGCATAATCAGTATGCATCTTAACATCGTAATACATCTGACCACAATTTCGATTTAATAAATAGCAATCAGACAAGGAGGGAAAAAGATTCACTTAGAGGAAAATGTATTGAAAAAGCGTTAATTCCACAGTTCTCGAAAATAAATTTAAGACCAGGATCATATATAATATCACTGATCATTGCAAATGCAATAATACCAGCACAATGTGGTATAAGAGCTAATAGGCAAAAAAAAAAAAACACAAAAAAAAACAGATGTACTCGGAGTGGATTGATTTAAAATCCAACAGACACCAGCAGCTCTAACACACACACACACACACACACACACACACACACATATGTTTCGTTAATCTTTAACGAAACATGTATAAAAGAGGGATTTCTGCCTAAATACACAATATATATATATATATATATATATATATATATATATATATATATATATATATATAATGGACTCTCCCGTCAGTTTCGACGTATGAGGATCTGACAGCTTATTGATTCAGTTATGAAATTTTGTGCTATAATCTTAAGTGGCATTTAAGACTCGCTAGTGATTTACAAAAGAAGGCCACATATGGAGCAAGTGTGAGGATTGTGAGATGCGATCACTGTTAGATTGGCTGACCGTTTAGATCTTGCTCTCGCTTCTTGAAGATGATTCAGACAAGCAGTTTGAAAATTGCTGAGTCCACTGAAACACGTTGACCTTCATTCTACCCGCTCTAAGGCTAAACGCTCAAGGGTGTTATGTGGTATATTGACTGCTGACAATACATACATACAATATATATATTGTATTTCAATTATTCAAATGTCACTCTGACTCAGATTGAACTTATGGCTTTCTCTCGTGGATTAGATTTTTGCATTCCACTTTCTAAAATTTGTAAGGAACAGATTTTCCCTGAATTTGAGATTTTGTATTTTCAATTAATTAAACATGTTTTTTTTTCTTCTGATAAGTGTTCTCCTATTAAGTCTAGATTTCTTGAATTGTCTAATGAATATGCTTCGCTTACTGCTGAACGAGATTTTCTCTAAGGAAATCTATAACAAGGTTAGACCTACAGGGTCTAAACGTCCTAGAATGTATGGATTGCCTAAGGTACATGAGATCGGAATACCACTTAGACCCATCCTCTCTATGGTGGGAACCGTGCAACACGAGTTGGCCAAATGGTTGGCTGTACTACTCCAGCTTTTCGTTTTTTTTTCAAATTTCATTAGAAATTTAATGATTGAATCTGAAAATAAACTGATGGTGTCTTTTGACATCGTCAGTTTGTACACTAATGTTTCTCTTCATGAGACCATTAACATATGTGCTGATGTTCTTTATAGAGGTAATTTGGGTCCGGCTAGCATTCCTGAAAATCTGTTTTTAGAATGCATGTGTCTGGCTACTGAAGGAGTTGAATTCAGTTTTAATGATATTATGTATGTACAGACTGACGGTGTTGCCATGGGTAGTCCTTTGGGCCCTATTTTGGCCAATATTTTCGTAGGTTCTTATGAGCGTCTTTTGTTTGACAAGGTCCATAAACCCCACATTTACAAGAGGTATGTTGATGATACCTTCTCAATTTTGATTCCGCCAGTGATGCTACTGATTTATTGGCGGAACTCATTTCTTTCTATCCATCCCTTCAGTTTACTATTAAGGTTGAGAGTGATGGGACATTGCCCCTTTTTTGGATGATCCCGTTGAGCATAAGCATAGGGTATTCTATATCAGCGTCTTCCGTAAACCTATATTCACAGGATTATACACAAGTTGGAATTCTTTTGTCACCAAGGCTCGAAAAATTCGTCTAATTTCAGCCCTGGCTCATCGCGCTTTGATGATCTGTTCTCCTAGTTTGTTAGATGAAGAACTTGCCAGTATCCAGAAGATTTTTGAAAGTAATGGATATCGGACCAATATCAACAAACGTTTTAGAGAACCAGTAATTTTGGGACCTAGTCGGTACCCTATTTAGTTAGAGTTGCCTTGGCTTGGCAGGAAGTGTCAGCTGTTCTCTGGCAGAATTTCAACTTGCATTGTTTCATATTACAATGCTGTTAAGTTGAGCAATGTTTTTCAAACAAAATCTGCATTTCCTTCCTTCAGTAAGGATCGTTTGTCCTATTTTATAAAAAATTTCGTTGTATACAAATTCAAATGCCGACGTGAAGCGGCGTACATAGGACGAATCAATCTGAAGTTGGAGACGCGGATTTCACGACACGTTCCCGCCTATTTGCGTTCAAGTAGTCGAAGCCAAGTTTTAAGAACTACTCAAGCAATCCACTATCTGTCGATTGCGATTGGGCAGAATTTGCTGGACATCCCTGATTGCGCCACTGAATATGAGGACACATGATTTTCCATTCTACATAGTGCTCGCTTGGTTTACCACTTTCGAGTTCTTGATGCTGTGTATATAAAATTTTACCAGCCAATCCAATGTAGACAAAATGAGCATTTTATGCGCTCCTTATGATTAATCGAGGGACTTTTGAGTGTCTTTTTCCATTTTATACTCTTGTGAAACTTGTTAATCATTTCATTATTTGCAATTAAAATTTATTTTATTTAAATCGCGTTCCAACTTTCCCTCCTCTTTCGGTATTATTGTTATGTTTTGATTATTTTTTATTTCGCCAACGATTGTCTTTGAAAAAAGCGTTGGCCGAAAGGATCCTAAGGTAGAAAATGATGTCAATTTTGTTTCAATCTATGTTCTATTTCTGTGGGCACAAACCTCTTATATATATATATATATATATATATATATAAACACTTTCCGTGTTTTGGTCGTCAGAACTGATAAAGTAAATTAATTTATTGTTCTTCTTACCCTAAAAAATCCCATCGCATTTTCCTTACACATAATTTTGTCTTTCATTCAGACCTGAAGACGTAGAACCCAACACACGTCACTAACAAAACACTAATAAAGTTTATGTACTACAGAGAAAAGTTCATCGGAATAATTATCAAGAAAATATTTATAGAAAAGGCACAGGGAAGCTACGTTACGGTGACAGAAAATGACTGAAGACAAGATGCAAATGAATGACAAAGTAGAAAAATTCTGCGATAGGTGCGATAATATCTTTGGATTTTATCAAGAATCTTTAAATACATAGCAGAAGTACCAGACTAGATGTGAAGGCAATATTCAAAACATGGACGAATGGTAGACTTATAAATATGTAAGATAGATTCAGGCAAGAAAAATTGTCTGGCACGACATAGTGAACCAACTTTCATAGCAGCAGATTTAGCAATTGATACTTCTTAATAATCTCCTCAATAATGTTATCTTTTTCTTCTATTCTCTCACACTCGGTAACGCCTTGCGTCTTAGTGGCTTTATTGTCTTGCTTGGGCGAAATCATTTAAAAAAATGATTACAAGTTTTCAAAAATAAACATTCATTGTAGGTTTTTTTCTCCTGTCAAGTCTACAAGAGCATAATATGTTTTATTAAATTATGCAAGCACCATCTCTCCACAAAAAATAATTATTTATGTAAGGCTTTAGGACAAATTTTCAAGATGTACTCATTTGATATTGCATCATTTTTTTTTTTACTGAAATAACGTCTTCAGGGATTTTTCTTTATAAAACTACTGTAACACTATAGTAGATGAAGGTGTGAGATTTTATCACAGTCAAGTGTTTCGTGTTTATAGCCGTTGGATGGGGTCTTTGAAGTCATTTTCTAAGCAGCACCCACTTGACCATAGGAAAAAAAAAAAAAATAAATAAGAGTTTTGAGATCAAGCTACAACAAACCAGACATTAGTATTTTCTGATTGGTTGTCTTATATTAACAGTCATAGTTGGGATCGATGTAGCAGTTCTGGTGTAACATTGCCGGTGAGCAGACTATCGCCCGTTCGTGTTGCCAGCCACGCGTCGTAATATTGAGATGGATAGAGAATTGGTAGGAGGAAGAGTCGAATGGAAGAGCTGATCTATTAGTCCGACATGGCAGTAGTGTCACCTACCTACCTACCTACCTATGCTGAGCAATCGAAGTCTTGAATAAAACACCTAAATATATTGGAAACAGAGTACGGGTTCACCATTCTAGTGGCGACCTTTATTTCTATCGTTTTTTTTTTTCTTATGATCCTGCAAGCAGGCTCTTCCCGGCTTTTGGTATACACCGTCACGAAGGGGAATGGAGACGCAGGCGTTGGGTAGTCATTGGCCAGTCGATGGAAAGCTGGGTTAGATTTCTATTGTATGTTCCTTCTTCTGGGCTGCATCCTTTCAGGACTTGGACGATCGTAGCTCTCCAAAACGTCCTTCTTTTCCCTGTACCTCTTCAGTAAGTATCTGACTCTTCCTGCTACCCTTAATTTTTACAAGAGCCAGATCAGACCAAACATGAAGTACTGTTTCCATATATGGACAGGAACTGTCCAGTCTTCGTCTCCGTAGAGTTCAAAAGCTTCTCTGCATCCTTGTAGAGGACAAATTATTCTACACCCTGCAACCCCCTTTTTTCACAGACGTGACATCACAAGCCTCACGCTGATCTATCGCTATTTCAATGGAAAATGTTCAGACGAACAACATTCTTTAGTTCCACCAGTTCTAACCTTTACGGCTAAGACCCACCATGCTAGGTACATTATAGCGAACCGACCTCATTCCCTTTGTATTCCTTTGGCGAAAGGACAAAAAAGAAGACAGAAGATGGTGGATGACATTGCATTTAATTTTTTTTTTTTTTTGAGATAAGACTCGATGCAAAGAAAAACTTGAAATTCTGAGAGACGTTACAAGGGAAGCGGCCAACATTAAATTAGGTATCTTTCTCCATAAGAGATAATATATTGAAGTGTCGGCTTTCTCTCGTATCAAAGAATTTAATTTCTGCTTTGCTGGTCGGCTTCAACTATCAAATGAGAATAATCATTCTTTGTGATGATCATTGTTGTGGTCAGTCTCGTTACGGTTGGTAACCAACGTATTTGATGCATTGTTTTGTGAAATATCCCTTTTGTTACTCAAGGACACATGGCACAGTGGATAAAGGCGTTAGTTAGATCCAGTGACAGGAACCAAAGAGTGTGAGTTCAATACCCGGTTAAGGCAGTGGAGAACTTGGAGAGGGGAATTAACAGGAGATAACTGGTAACTGACATCCATTAAACATGACACGTGGAACTAAAACAGTCTACCCCAGTGAGCGAAATAAAGGGTTCAGTTCGACATTCCAACACCTGAAGAAGGCCGGAGCGTACAACAGCCGAAACGTTGTAATAAATATGGCGACAAAGATGAGGACAATAGTCAGAATAATGTAAATCCCTTTTGTTACTACTACATCCAAAACAATGAAAGACTTTAATTAATCACCTGTAATAATTATCACAAAAATACATAGGAGAAATCTTAAGAAATCTTAATTATATGAACAGAAAAGGGACATTTTACAAAACAGTTCGTCAAGTGTGTTGGTTGCCCATCGTAACGACACTGACCATATATATATATATATATGTACCTGCAACACGTATATAACAACACGTACCTGCAATAATACTGAATAAAAAAATTTCTTTGTGCGATACCATTCGTAACACGTATGGGTCTTCGATTGCGGATCACTTTATAAAGAATCCCACTTGTGCGATGGATTTCAGTGTGAACTGGTTTTCAGTTTTGGCCAGAGCACACTCATTATTCCATCTTCAGGCGTTGGAGACGCTTTACATCAGGTCCAGGCAACCTGCGCTTTGTAAACAAAGAGATTGTTTGCTTAGACTTGCTGTGCTGCGCTTCTAGCATCTTTGTTGGTATAATTTTTATAATATTTTTTTTCTCCCTGTCCACTCATTCATGTCATCCATGACAGACTTTTTCTTTTCCTTTTCTTCATAATTTTAGTTCCCCGTTAACAGTTCTGATGAGAGGGGACGAAACCGGTCGACTGGTGTGTGTTTTTGTTTTAAATCTATCATGGCCTACAATATAAAATTTCTTATTTTTTATGCCTTAATACGCTTCTGTACTGTTTCAAACATATATATATATAATGCAAATCAGTGACACCTGTCAAAATACGTAAAACTTACTAGAATGAGTTCAGAAATTTTGTAAAAAAGACGTACGCAATAGATAAGTCGAGCTACAATAGTATATAAATTAATAAGAAAATGTTCAAAGGACAGATCTATGAGAGATTTGTAAGCAAATTGTGTCTATCTGAAATTGCTCAAGTCTATTTAACTGTGTTCTTATCTCACCTTGTTTTTCTATTTTTCTATAGCGTGTGGATTCGCGCACTCTCTCTCTCTCTCACGCACACACACACATCTAAAGAATACTCAATGTTGTTTTTTTTTGTTTTTGTTTTTTGAGAAATTCGAACACGGTATCTACCCACACAATATTTTATCTTTCGTAATCTCCGCCGGACGAAGACATATGCAAATCAAACATTCCTCTGTAGATTACCTGCAATAATACAATGCTGACGACGCTGACCTTGCATATCATCAACTTTATCATTGGCCTCCTGGCTCTGAGGCGGGAATTAAATCCACTACCAGGGTGATGGGAATCCTCCACCCCCATGTACTAGCTTTCCTAAATCATGGCACCTGAAGCGTCCGCAAAAGGGAAATGTCGAGAGAAAGGGATTCTTTTGGGTTTAAGTTATATATATATATATATATATATATATATATATATATATATATATATACACGCGTGTAACTCCTAATTTAAATTTGGCCTTGTGCATTAGATTGATCGCACAGATAAAAAATCTCATCATCAATTGTGCATTCGAAATTATCTGAGTCTATCTAGTCTTTGCGTCGAAGTGAGACGGTGCAAAATTATATGATTTCTGAGTATGTCGTTTTTATTTCGTATGAACAAGAGTCAGTGATTTAACCAAATTTGCAAAACTGAGACGAGGAAGAGAAAGCGATTGTATATTGAGAGCTCATAAAACGAACATTTGGTACATGCAGAAAACGTGGCTGCAATGTGATGATGAATAAGTTATCTTTAAAAAATTGAAAAGGGTAGTAATTTTAGATTATAAGACACTGATTTACATGCACAGGATTCCTCATAATGATGAGAAAAAAAAGGTTTGGAAAATGTGACAGTCACTGGAAACATTAAAGCCAAGAGAGACAGAAGAAAGTAGCGAATAACTTACCTAAAGAGCTTGAGTAAAGGGATGGCGGAAACATGGAGAGAGAGAGAGAGAGAGAGAGAGAGAGAGAGAGAGAGAGAAGGATAGTAAAAAAACAAACATTGCTGAGAGTTACGAAAGATAGGAAATTGTGGAGAGCCATGATCAGTCACTTCCTGAAAGGGCACAACACGTAGAATAATAATAATAAGTCCTTATTTCAGTTGTTATCGTCACTCTACCCTCTGCTTTTTATTAAGTATTTATCTTCGTTGGTAACTTTCTGGGAATTTTGAACAGAAACATTTATTCAAACCACGTGGTTGGAGTAAAGAAACACTGGTTTGGAGAAATGGCCAAGGATTTATTTTCATTTATAAGATATGACAATGTCTCTTGTAAGTCGTATAGTGCAGCGTTCGGATGTACCGTGTACGAGGTGTGAAGTGAGAGCATGGAAAAGAAGTATGCTTGACCCGACTGACTACTTGCTGTCTGTCGGTTTGGGCTTGTCGCATTGATTGTGGAGTCCGTTCTCTTTCTGTGTTCACGGGAGGTCGTTTTCACAGCCTAATGGTCGGACGGGCAATTAGCAGTGCTCTCGTCGCCTCTATGGTTAGTGTGTGTGTGAAGTCTCTCTCTCTCTCTTTCTCTCTCTCTCTGTCTCTCTCTCTTTCTGCCCTGTCCGGCTTCTCTTATAGCCTATATAAAGGAAACGCACGGACGTAGTTGTGGCAAGCGAGAATATATATATAGTATATTTGTGTTTGTTTTAAAATTTGTTTTGAGTAGAGTGCGGGGTGTTTGACCTAGCTTGACGAAAATTGTGTGTAGTTAGAGATATAATTTTTTAAAATAATTGAATAAATTTGAAGTTTTTGCGCTTTTTTTTCGTTGAAAGCATTTATTTTGAAATTCTTGTAAAAATCAAATAATTGTCCGTTTTTAATGAAATTTTCAGAACTTATTCACAAATGAATGAAATTATTTTTTAAATGTTTTTTCAGAAAATTTTGGTAAAAATATGTTTTTAAAAATATGTTACATCCCACTTACTTAATTTCACGAAATTTCGCACAAAACCTTTCTATTTCCTGAAACATTTTTTGTTAAAAGTAGGATTCCTTGGAGATTGTAAATGACCTACTTTTTTTTCAAATTTGAGCTATTCTAAATCAAAATCTGCTCTGAAGTGAAAAATAACGAATCAAATAAAACTATGACATTATTTAATTAGAAAGCTTTTAATTGCTTTTGTAAATAAGTTATATTAAGGACATTATTGTCTGAAGAAATAAAATTTTTCTGATGTATAATGAATTTTTACCAGAATTTTTTCATTTTTTAAAACATTTTAATCATAATAATTCATAATAGTTTAAAATCGTGTAAAATTCTATATTGGGCTATTTCCTGGATGTGATGTCGTAATTAAGTGGAAACAAAATTTACAAATCCAAAATTGAAAAGATTAATCAACTTAGCTGAGCTGTTCTATTTTTAAAATAATTTTTTATTTTGTATTTTTTTTTACTTAATACGTTCCTTATTTTCATGTATGGTCGACTGAAATTGCCATTATTATGCTTTAAAAGTTTTGTCCCTTTATTAGGTCGCTTCAGTTATGTTTAAACAGGTTTTAAAAATTTCCATTCAGCTTTAAATGTAAAGCTTAAACTAAGTTTTACTTTTTTCAATTACTATTTCGCTAAATATTCTTATTTTATTTATTCACATTAGTGTGGGACATACTTTAATTAAATAATTATGGTATTTCATTTGGTATTAAATTATAAAATTAATTGAAGAAAATTTTTTTGTATTTTAAGTTTTTTTTATTTTTGCATCTTCGAAAGGTAAATAAAAGTCAATAAAATATTAAATAATTGCGGAAAATATGTTCATTTATAAAAATTACTAGGTAGTTAAAAACCAAAAAATATGCGTTCACTTAGATTTCTGACAATTGGGTCATCCATAGTAGCTGTCATCTTTTCTTCAATCAGTAGTCCATTAAACGTTGGATCAAATGAACAGGACCACTCGTTAATAATTGGTTGTATATGATTTTTTATGCTATAAGTAAGTAATATTTATTTCAAATCAGATTAATTTAACTTTAAATTTTCTAATTTTACTAAAATAACGTGTCAGAAATATATATTTATTTTTGAAAGAATTTTAAAATAGAAAAATTTGTTTTGTTTACAAATTTCTTAAAATTAAGAAAATGGCCGCTTTTAAGAAAATTTTAAGAAATCGAAATTAAATTTGACATTCCAAACTATATAATTTCTATCTGAAATACACCAGAATATTTTACTTAATGGAAATAATAAATTTAATTATTAAGCTTTCAATTAAAACTAAAAATGAAATCTTCATGAAAAATGAAAAATTTAATTTAAAACCTTAGGTATCGAAAATTTATGCCAAAAAATGTGGAGGTATCTACATGGAATAAGAATACAGTCATTCAGTGTCATAAGCGTACAAATGAAAAGCGCTACACCTTTGCGACCCACTTTTTGTCCCTGTTTCCTGAACAGACGTTCTGCTCATAGCGGATGGACGAGTTCATGTTTCAATAATAAGTGTAAAGAAGGTTAGTCAGTCTTTCTACACAATCAAAACTTGTTTTTATTACTTGCTTAAATTATTAATTTTTAAATTATTTTTTATTACTCGCTTTACATTTTATAAATGGTAAAGCTGCCTTCCCATTTATAAAATTTATATTATAATTATTTACAAATACTAATTATCACTAAGCTGAATTTTTATCATTAATTTTATTAAAGTATATTCACAGGTATGACACTATGGCTGATGGACAGGAATGCAGACAAGTCAAAGATTCTTCTTTCTTTATTTATAGATTTATATTTATAGAATTTAAATATAAAATTTATTTGCAAAGGTTAATTATCACTGAGCTTAATTATTTTTATTAATTATTTAAGTACCATCCTTGAAATGCCATTATAGCTGACAGAAAAATGTGCAGACAAGTCGAAGATTCTTTCTCGTTTATTTATAGATTTATATTTATAGCATTTATATTACTTAAGTTTGATTATTATTATTAATTATTATTAACGTATCGTCACGAGGCTGACGGAGGAGAGTGCTGATATGTCAAATATTATTTCATATTTATTCTTTTTATTTTGGATAGTCACGTTTTATGCGAGTTTATCCTAATTAAAAATTACTTGGAAACCATTGACCTGACTGAATGAACAATCACCTTACTCTTTCCTTTTTAGAGTATTTTAAACGTATTTCACTAAAATGTTTTTCAGATAGAGAATTTTAACGAGATTAAGCTAACAGGAATGGCACTACGATGTGCCGTTTTTGTTAATGTTATAGTAACAAACATACATAGAGCAATCGGATCGATATCGATCACCAATGGCATATACAGTGGCTGAAGAAAGAGGTAATTAAATTTGAGCAAATATTTCCAGTAATTTTGCAACTGAAAATAGCGTTTAGCATATTCTAACATTCATTTCTAAAATAATTTTTTTTTCAACCAAAATGTCATTTGATCTATAGACCATTTCAAAAGTTTTTATACATCTGAGAAATTAAGGATATAAATAGTATTTAATTCATTAAAATGCATTTAAATAATGCCTTAAAGAGAATGCATTGAAATTATGCTGATGGCTGTATCAGGCGGTTGTCACAAGCTTTTTATGGAATTCAACAGGAAAAATGTTAAGTGCATCACACACAACACTGTTGTTGAACTATTATTGGTCTGTAGCATTTGCAGCAAATAGATTCGGTATTAACGAAGACGAGACAGATGGATGAAGTTTTGTGAATGAGCACTTGAAGGCACTGACCTAACAGGACGGGGAGCGGTCGCCTTCCATATAATACATTCTTCAAGCGTGACGTCTTTTCAGTAACATTTGTCCAACGACTGGTTTTATAAAAGTGACAGAGAAAGAAAATAGCATAAGTCTACTCCATATTATCAATTCGCATCTCTGTTTGTCATGTCATGAACTGGCACCAGTGGCCAATACCAATGTCAAGGTTTAGGACTCAAAGAAGAAATCAAGGAAATTTCTTCGAATTTATTAAAGTGTTTGCCAAAAATTATATATTACTGAAAAGAAATTACACCCTCCCCCCAAAAAAATCATTATTTACACTTGGACAATAGAAATCGTCTTTGTTTTTATTGTCGCAACTTTTTGACTATTGTGCCTTCTTCAGGTATTTTCACGATAGCCTAGTAGATTAAAGCGTTGGCTCCTGAATTTGATGACATAATAATTGTGAATGTAATCTCCTGACCGGGCAAAGCAAACATATTCGGTGGAAATCAGGTGACCAATAACTGAACATGGCTAAATAAAAACAAGACGAGATATCCCTAGACATGAAAAACAAATAAAGGGTCCAGTTTCATATTACTTGTAAGATACTCGGATTGATAGGCAAATGAAGAAGGTCAAACGGCACAACAACCGAATTCCCGTAATAATAACAACAAAGATGAAAACAATAGTCCGGGTGTAAATAATTAAAATAAGGATAACTCCTCTTCCGAGATATTCAGGCAGAAATTACCGAAAAAAAATTAATTACTGAGTGATTGAAATGTAATCTATGGAAGCCCTGACATACAAATTCATCTGATACAGTCTTTATTAAGTGAGGTTCTATCAAAATAACAACTGGAATTAAGTTGACTAAATATTTTACAATAATTGGCGTTTCTATTATTGATATCAGTAGAACTGAGCTACTTTCTTTAAACTTGTGATGCAAAAAAATGAATAACGCAATTCAACGAATTACTTGGAACAAGTGATGAAGATTTGTTCAACATTCTAGCTTTTTAATCATTTCATACCAAGACACTAAAGCCGCTAAGATGCAAGGTGGATTACTGAGTGTGAAATTAAATGCAATATCAATCGTCATCTTCTGTCTTCTTAATTTCTATTCCTTTATTGTTTTCGATCCTTAATAATGTTTTTATTTTTCTTATATTCTTTCATACTCAGTAAACCCCTGTGTCTTAGTGGCTTTATTGCCTTGTTTGGGGCGAAGTGATTAAAAAAACAAAACAAAAGAAAACTTTGATTCACCAGTGGAATAACTTTAAGGCATCATTTTTTAATACCAAATGAA